GTGGTTGGTGGCGGGCGGCGGGGAAGGAGCGGGCGCAGAGCGGTCGGACAGAAACAGAGAGCAAACCATGCGCGATAGAAGGGGGTGCGCGTAGGGTTCGACCGCCCCCTCTTGCGACGCGTGTCTACCCAGCGCGAATATGCTCTAATGTTAACGTCGTCTGTTTTCGCCAGCATTGCCCCAACTGGCCAGCACTTGCGCTTGCGCCCCTTCCTCGGCTTCTCTTTCTCTACCTCGGACCTCCCCTCGCAGCTCTCGAGTAAACACCTTTTGTGTGCGCATCTCACATGTGCGTATATGTATCATACAACGGCATTACGATCGCATGCACATGTTGGTCGACGAATGCTAGCTAGCTGGGCGCAACAATCACAAACCAGCACTGCCGAACCTCACCATGGCCAACACCACAGTTAACGCTATCATGCTGCAAAGTCCCCCCCACGTCCAATTCGTCATGCGGTTCCCTTCGTAGATCTCGCGCCCCACTATGTCGTCGAATCGAGGCCTGGGCCGAAACGGAACTGGTTACTTGAATGTGGGCGGGGTCCTATGCCGAACGACAGGGCCGGGCGGGGCGGGGCGGTGGTGGCGGCGTGTGTGTGTGTGTGGGGGGGGGGCAATGTCACCGATCACCTGTGGACATCGCCCCCCTGATTTTACTCCCGCCGCGGCGTGCGAAACCGAACCCACCTCCGAATCGGTAAGAGCACGCCGAAGTCCCTGCCACTGGCTGGCCCATCCCGCCTCGCCCCGCGCCGACGTTTCAGCCCAGCGCTCACGCGAAGCTCTAGGACGGAGGGGCGCGGGGCGCCGCCGACATCAGTGGCGGCGCCATTTTCCACGTTCCATAGCCAGAGGCCATAATTGCTCGTCGCCCCTGCGCCCGAGCAGGATGGCGGCCCCGCGAGGCCCGATCCTACAAGAATTCTGCCACGCGAGAGAAACGCAATGATGCTCGACGCGACCCCGCCACCCTCTACTCTCTGCGCGCCCCGCCCCATGAGTGGCAAAGGATATGTTTTACGAGCGCAGCTGCTTGCGGCGCCCGTCATCCAGGCGCTGGCACCCTCTGCGCTTGCGCCCGAACCGCAGCACATCGCCCCCGTCGCCTCCATCGCAACATAGATTTGGAATGGATTGGGTATGCATTGGGCTGTCCCGAACTGCACTGTCCCTGGCGTGCTGGTGATAGATTCTGAATACCAGTTGTGAGGGTGGTGGTGTTCGTCGGCCCGTCGTCTCCTGCAGTTGCCTCGTCGTCGTCGTCGTCGTCGCCATCGCCGTCGACATACATGGCCTCTCCCTCCATGCTGCCCCCGCGTAGACCCCGAGCAGCGTGCCTGGGGTGGGCGTCTGTCGACGCGAAAATATGCGCGTCAGTGTTCAGACACGCCATGATCCCAAAGCAACCACATACGGATACCTCCAGCGTGCTCCTGTGGCTCCTCTCTGCGCAGGTCCTTAGTGCGAGGTTCAGGGCCTCGTCTACAAACGCGTCGTAAATCGCAGATTTCCGAGATGCCAGCTCCTAGCAGTGACATGGCCAAATGTGTGGAACTTCGGCGTTGGCTTCACTCCTGCTCGATCTGCGTTTGCCAGTGCGCGGTTGGCTGAATGCAGGAGGGTCTTGTACTGGTCGCGCGCCAGGCAAGCTACACGCTCTCGCACTCTCTGCGCCCAGGTACGTAGCGCACGGGCGGCAGCCAACGGTTCCGCACCCTTGTAGATGGGACGCGCAGCACATGTTTCGAGTTAATAGGATGCGAATTTCAATATCACATACGTCGCGGATGCCTTGAACTTCAAAATGCCACCAGCGCGCGTTGGCCCTCGTGCGGTCGGGAACACTTTGCCTGACAAAATGTTAACCCTGTTTGGGTGCGGTACTTGCTGTTTGTCTCGTACACGAACATGTCAGCCCCCAGCCTCGGAGTTCCCTTTGCCGCACTCACATCCCGCGGATTGGACCACATCAGCCTCATCAAGATAGCGCACGTGATCCGCACCAGTATACCAAGGTATACTGTGTGCAGCGTGTCTATGGCGAGCAAGCGGGCTGGTGATGCACCGAGCGTGGTTGAGAACAGTGGACACCTGCGTCGCACTGAGTCGATGCATCGCTTTGAACAGCCGAATGGGGACCTCCAAAACGTTGCAGTGAACGGCACGCTCCTCGTGTGAAACTCTGTGGGTATCAGAAGCTCCTTGGAACAAGCCAAACGATCCCCTGCGATGAGCCCATGAACGCTCGATTTCAAAACCAACCCAACTGTTTCTGTGGATTCAGTAGCCGCCCAAATCGCATTCCTCATGCCTACAGAAGTGACGTTTTCGCACTTGCCGCATCCCAGATCGCAGTCGTCGCGAGATCGGTCGGGCATCTGGAGGCCATCCTCAGAAACAAGACACGGCACACACGCATGCATTGCATCTTTTTGCACTGGACAGATAGGACATGGTTGCCACGCATTACCCCACCCAGCTAAGCCCATCGACTTAGCGAACTCTGCCCAGTCACCCTTCACGTACAGGACTACACACCGAAACCCGGGGTCGGTACCACTATCAGTTGGGCGCAGGTGGGCGGGCCACGGTGACCCGTCGCGCATGTCTTGTGGGACGCACCCGTCTGTCAACGCTTCGAGCTGCCACGTCGCAACTGGCAACGCTCCATGGACCGAACAATACCCGCCACACCCACAGTCGCACAATTCACTAGTTCGCATGAATCCCATGGGGTGCCTCGTATGCGATGCCATGTTCACGATGCTCACCTGAATTAAATTATCCGCCAGCCCTAATGGGGACAGAGCTGTGATTGACACGTGGACTCAAACAACATTCATTCAAAATTGATACCAGAATGCATTGGGAATGAAGTGGGTCTAAATTCATTCCATAGTCATGCCACACTCATTCAAAATTCATTCCACAGTCATTCCCAAATCCATTCCACATTCATTCCAGATTCAATCCGAACTCATTCCAGGTTCATTCCGGATTTATGTTAAAATCATTCTAAATTCCTTCCAAATTCACTCAAAATGCATTACCGATGCGTTCCAAAGCCATTCCAAATTCATGCCGCATTCATTCCACACTAGCTGGTCGATCACACATCCCGCCATCACTACCGTGGGTGCTGTGTGCGAAGCATGATTATCATACCGACCAGCGCGTATAGGAGTGCACCGTACCCCATCGATGTAGAGGGCCAGTGGCAGCGGCCACTTCCCTGTACCCCCGGCGCACCGCTCAACGCGTACATGATCTTGGTAACACGGCACCGACAGCACGCTATCTGGATCACCACATGGCCCCTTCTCCAGAATCTCAAGTATATCCTGGGATGCGGTAACTTCATCAGCGACAGTTCGAAATATCTCCCTAAATATGCCATCCCTGAATTTCAGATGAGCGTTTCTCCTGACGGCCGCGGGCAGTCGCGCCGTGTAAAGAGGCCCAGGACCTGGCAGATGTCGATCCGTGTGGTGCTTGTGTTTTCCTGTCTGCTTACCTGGCGGCGTCGCAAATGTGCTCCACCGCCCCCCCAGCAACGCCACGGCACTTCAAGTAATGGCACAGAACGCAAGAATCTTTGGCAGACACGTTCTTGCATGACCCATATAATGCCAACAACGGGTCAAACGCAGCTGAGCCCGCCATGCGCTTGCGCGCGCCGTCATTCCCGAACGCAAACTGCGGCCGCGTGAGTCGCCTCGTCATGGCCACTGCGATCTGAAACGACACTCAAGCGGCTACACTGGAAGCGACGACTGCACATCCCACACCTCGCGCCGCACATGTGCTGCAACAGTTCCTGTTTCACGAGGCACCGCGCAGATGTGCTCCTCGGCCGCTAACCCCAGCAGAAGGCGCGCGGCCCTTGCCGCGCTCAGCATAACGCTCGCGCCCTACACGCACAAGGCGACCCCCCGCGCATGCATACTTGTGCAAGGCGCGCGTGCAGACGGGCATGAGCGTGGCCACCCGTGAGTAGCCAGCCCCATGGCCGAAATTCTTCCAGAAAACACGGGCAAGCCCCAGACGCGATAACCATATCTTCGGATCCAGATCCCCCGAGCGGCGCGGGGCGCGGCCCGCGCCGCGGCCCCGAAAAATTGGGCCCGACAGCGTTACCACCCAGACAAAACCTGGTCGGACATCCGTGCGCACCACTGGCGCGCAGTTTCCATCATTTCTACAAAATTCATACCAAATCCAGTCTTCAAGCATTCTGAAATCATGTTCCTACTTTGTACGTTGTTCACACACACATATATATATATATATATATATATATATATACGTGTGTTTATATATATGGTTCCCCATCTTTCATACAAATCATTTCTTCTGAATGTATACATCTTTCCTTTTTTAGAAGTCCTGGGGGTTGTCAACATTTCAGAAATTACCCGGCTGACAAGTACTTTTCCCGGCCACCGAGGGATTTTTGTGGCAGGCGTCTAGCGTTCCTGGCTTTTCCTGCAATTCTCAGGGTTGGCAGACTACCCACTGGCTTGATTAGCGGATTAGCAAGGGTAGCGCTGTCGGCCCAGGACAAACCGATCCAGGAAAACCTGATCCACGAAAAAGACCGATCCAGGGAAAAACGATCCAAGAAAATTGACACAAGGAACACCGATTCGGGACGGGAGAACCGATCCAAGACCAGAAAAGAAATCCAAGGCTCAGCGACGGCGGATCCAGAAGGCAGATCACATGAGCGGTGGATCCACACGTTGTCTACCAGCCAGTTACAGGCTGGATCCACCACATGCAACAGTGGATTCCATGAGGCCAGAGCTGGATGATGTCACGTGGATCAACTATGCATGGGTCCAGCCGTCTAAACCCACGCCTCGAGGCCACCGACGCGATGGCATATCATTACACGAGCCACACTCTCGACAGGCGGTCGCGCGACCCATCTGTCCTCGTCCCTCTCGGCTCCCCGTGCTGGCCAGCTCAGGCTAATCCGAATCAGATGACTCCGAGTCGTTGTTCTTATTCTTCTTGCGGCCTTTCTTGCCCTTCCCCTCATTATCCTCCTCCTTGTGATCCTTCGTCCTCTCCTCTGCGCTGCCCTTCTTCCCTTTCGGCTTCGCTGCCAACCTCAGCCTCTCATCCTCGTCGTCCCCCGCAAGCCTCTGGTTCATCAGGGTCCTCACTTCTGAATTCAATATCGCCGCGCTCTTCGTCAGCGCGGCGTTCGCCCTCTGCGCGCATGTTTCGAACTTCTTATCTCCAACCTGGCGGCGGGCATGGATGAGGAGTGGGGGCGGATGATCAGGATAGACATGGGGGGGGAGGCACGACGGGGACCGACATCATGATAGCGAACGACACTTGCACGCACGCACACGCACGCACGACGTACACCCATCACACAACAGTGCAAGATGCATAAATTCAAGGATGACCCGCCTGTTTCTTGGACTTCCCTTCCGCCAAGGCCATCATCGACATGAGGCCGTGCTCCGAACATGTCGCGTTCACGACCTGCATCGCAGTGTCCATGGGCTCGCGAAGTTTGCCGGCGGCCTTCCAGGATGCGCCCTTCGACTTGATGAGCCCGTCGAGTTTGGCATGATGGCTGATGGCCCAGTCACAATTGGATTTCAGCGCCCTGAACTTGACGAGATCTGGATTCACCTCGCGGGGCTTGGGATCGGGCTTCTCTTCGTCAGAGCCGGAGCTGCCCTTATTTTCCTTTGTGCCCTTCTTCTCTTTCTGTTATTTGGTCTCCTTCTCTTTCTCATTCCGCTATGCGCTTCTCCTCCTCTGTCTCCTTATGTTATTTGTCGTATTTCTCCTTGGCCTGTTCTCCTTCGTCGCCTTCTGGGAAGTACCCTTGCCGACCTTTTCCCCATTCATGGGCTTCTCCTGCTCGTGCCTCGTAGACTTATCGGCGGCCCCCATCATCATGTAACGCAATATTATCAATCCCTTTCTTGTGCCCAGTGGAGCCGTGGTCCTCCTCGCCCGTGTCTTCCTTCTGCGTAATCCTCGTCGTCGGCGTCGCCTCCGCGGCATCTGGTGCTGGCAGCGCGCCCGCGCTGCTGCTGCCAGCTTCGCTGCCCTGGAAGGTGCGCACCCACTCTTCGTGCCGATGCCAGCTCTTCTTGAACGACTCGGTCAACTGGTGCTTGACGTTCAAGCATCCGATCGTTTCCGCCATGTCGCCCCAGCGGACCCACTTCCCACCCGTCAGCACGGCGTTCGACGCATGCTTCAGCGCCAGGCGGAGGCCAGCAGCGCCGCCACCTTTGAGCCCCGCCAGCCGCCCCAAGGTGACGCACTCACCGATTATTGTATATTCTTTCTCGTGCTCCTCTTTTTGCGCGTACTTCACCGTCGTTTTCCATGTTTCGAACTCCTTCTTGACCCAGTCCGATCTGAACTTCCGCTGGGCAGGCCATCCTTTCTCTGCTGCGTAGTCTCTCCCCAGAGCCTCTGACGCCGCCAAGGCCTTTTGCCGTCGGCCCGCTACTTTGTTCCCGCCCTTTGTCTCTGTGGTGAACATGAATTTCTTCGCCGCCATCTCCTCGTAAAATCGCTGCCCCCCCCTGTCCTTCTTGCTTAAGTGGGCGTTCGTATCATCGTCGGGCGACTCGTCGTGATCGTCATTATCAGACCAGGTGGGGTCGGTCTTCTTCAAGGCTGTCAGCTTCTTGATGAGCCCGCAGTGGAAGAACTGCCCCAGCCTGATGCCGGCGCGCCCCGTCGCTCGCTCGTCGGGGTTCGGGCGCGAGCCCATCTCATCATTGATAGCCTTGAACTCCGAGTGGATCGCCGAAATCAGATGACTCTCGCTGCCAGGGAACGCGTTCGAACACATGACGTTGGACGTTCCATTCGGTTCGCGAGCGGCGCCCATGATCCCCATCGAGCGGTGCCCCCCCGATTTGCGCTACACCACCAGAAGAGCTCGGGCCAGAATAACCCGAACTCGATATCACTGAGGTCGGCGCTGGTGGTCCAAGTTGACCGTCTATCTGCGCGCCAGCGGGCGCTTCGCTCTGGGTGAAGCCGAGAGATTCGTACCGCCCTCATCCTCAACACACGCCGTCTCCTGTGCGTCGTGTTTCTCCTTCTTTGCCGTCGTATCTTTCTTTGCCTTGTTCTTCGCCTCACCTCTGACCGTCGACGTCGAGCAACTCCTCCTCTCAGCCTTATTCTCCATCCTTTTCTGGTCTTCTGAGTCCTCGGCTCAAGGCTCATGCATGAACGCGTGCGCGTATGCACGCGCGTGCACTATGCATGCACTACCCGCCAAAACATGGATGGAGGAGGAAGGGGAACATGAGGAGGATGAGGAACTTCGGTAAACGAGCGACGGGGCGATGGCCACTGGGGCGGGGGGGAATCCTTCGATATCGGACGTCGTCCAGCAGCGGCCTCGACGCGAGCGGCGACGCGTTCCTCGGGCTGGGGCGGCCGCCAGTTGCGGGCGGGCGAGAGATGGATCTAGAGAGAGAGAGAGAGAGAGAGAGAGAGAGAGAGAGAGAGAGAGAGAGATAGAGAGAGAGAGAGAGAGAAAGAGAGAGAGAAATAGAGAGAGAGAAATAAAGAAAACAATACAAAAAAAGAGAGAGAGAGAGAGAGAGAGAGAGAGAGAAATAAAGAAAAATAGAGAGAGAGAGAGAGAGAGAGAGAGAGACAGAGAGACAGAGAGAGAACAAGGATGGGGACATGAATGAGTCCTGCTCATCTTTCAGAGATGCAATGCTTGCCAGCTTTGCATCTCGAACTTGCGTAGCGATGTCAGAGAGGCGATCATCTCCAGAATCGCTCGCCAGCCCACTCGGCCCCGCCCCTTTCTCACGAGCAGCCCCAGCTCCCCAAGCCGCCCCAGGTGCTGCCTGGACATCCTCGCCCTCATGTTTCTGTCCATTGATCGGACCCACCCTCGACCCCATCAGCCTTTTCTTCCTCCACTTCATCAGCCTTTCCCCCCTCGACCTCGTCAGCCTTTTCCTCCTCGGCATCGCCGGCCACCTTCGACTGGTCTGCCCCCCGGGCCTCGTCGTCGGGCGGCGGCAGGCGACCTCCTCCCAACAGCGAACCCTCGAGACCCATGCACTCGCCCACCTCTTCGTGCATCCTGCGGGCGCCAGGAGTCAGCTCAGCCATGCTCTGTGCATGGGGGCTGATCGCAGGGCTGCTGGCGCTGCTGGCCTTGCCCCGCGCTCGGCGGCGCTTCGGGGCCCTCGCGACCCCTGGCTCCCATGCAACGTTGCCAACAACGGCGCCACCGACCTCGCCGCGCCATCTCTCCGTCGCGCGGGTCACCCCTGCCCTCGATCGAGAGGGCATCGGTCATCTTGCGCGAGGGGGGCGATGACGCAGCGAGGTCGATTGCGACGCGCACTGTAACGTTACACCGTGACCTCCTCCATCGGCACCCTCTGAACGAGCTGCCCGATGTCGGCCCACTTGCCCTCCAGGGGCTGCAGGCGAGGCATGCTCGAGCCGACGTGGCTGCACGCGTGACCTTCTGCAGGGTTCGCGCGCGCCCATGCCTCATCGCCCTCCCCAGGCTGCCCACGCTGATCATTGCTCTCAATACGCTGATCCTTCGCACCTGCTTCCCATCGACCTTCCTCATCGGACTCCCCTCCACCCACTCTTCGTCCATCTCTCATCCTTGATTTGCTAATCCTATTCCTTTCGCACCTGGGCGCAAGGCGACGGGCGCGCAGCGCCTGCCGCCCAAGTCAGAATTCAAGGCTGCGCCGCCCCCCGATGCCTCGGGTCGATGGCGTGATCGCGCGCGATCCCCTCTCACTAGCAGAGCTTCTCTACCTCTTCGCTCCTCTACCTCCTCGACTAGCAGCGCTCCTCTACCTCCTCACTGGCATGCCTCATGGGCAGCATCCTCTACCTCCTCTATGCGAGCCTAGCCGAATCCCACCCCCATGTCGAAATCATCTTCTGAGGAAGGGCATTTCTTCTTAGACTGGCTCGGGCTCTCCTTGGGCGACGGCCTCTTCTTTGGCGGGCTCGGGCTTGAGCTTGAGGGCGCCGCTGTCTTGGGATGGCTCTTGCTGGAGGATGCCAACGCCTCATCCTTGTTATTATTGGTGCGCTTGCTTATCGGGGTTGCCTCGGCTGTGGGGATCACCGTCTTGGGCTCGGACGTCTTCTTGGCCCCCTTCTTTCCCTTCATGGCTGCGGCCGCCTTGGCTGCTTCAATCTGACTGCTCGACTTCTCGTCCTCTGCGCCATCTTCCTCTTCCTCGTCCTTATCGTTCTGAACTTCCTCCTCTTCTGCCTCCTGGTGGTCCTCATCAGCCGCGGCCTGCGCCTTCTCGCCATCCCCCCCAGCCATCTCATCCTCGTCTTCCTCTGCCGCCGCCGGCGGCATTTTGCGCGCCGCTGCTGCCGGCCTCTTGCCCGCCGCGGCTGGCCATTTCTGCGCGGCCTTCATGTCGCCGTACCCGCCCTGGCGCTTGATGTGCTCCTGCTTGGCGATCTCGAACTTTTCGGCGTCGCCGTCAATGGCGAATTGCTTCGCGAGCTTCTTGATGCACTCCTCGGGCTGTTCGAAGTGCTCCCTCACCGTGACTTGTCCGATCGCTTCGTCTTGATCCAGGCGGCGACGAACACTCGCCTGTCGCCACCTGCTGCCGCGGGCGGCCTCGTGCACCTCGTCGCGGCGATCAGTTCGCCCTCTGCGTTCTCCAGCTGGAGCAGCTCATTGGGGCTCGACGAGCCATGGCTACCCTTCCCCCTGCTGCTGCTGTCGTGCACGCCCACCGTGTAGCCTGGCACCCTCCACTCCGCGCCGTCTGGCCACTTGAAGGCGAGCTCATCGTCGCTCTTCTGCCCCTTGAGCGGCACCCCGTTTTCTTTCTGGCGGTGACTTCTTGCCCCGCTGGCGGAACGCCGCCTGCTTCTTGGCGCCCCAGTTGTACGAGAATGACGCTTTCTGCGCCGCGGCCCTCATCTCTGCTGCCTCCCGGGGGTAGAAGGCGCGCGCGCAAGCGGAAGACTGCGTGCACGATGCAATCCGTGCCAAATTCATTCCAGCATGAATGTCGGATGAATCTGGGATGACTTTAGCAGAAACTCGATATAAGCCAAGTGGGAGCTGAGGAATTCTTGAAAAAGTTTAGTGTATATATATATATATATATACATCTGGCCCGACCTCACTCGCCCCCCCCCCCCCCCCCCCCCCCCCGCCCGCGCCATCGCAGTCGTCGCATCGCTACCGATATCTTCTCATCCATTTTTCTCTGTCTCCCGTGTCCTGCGCCACCTCTGGGAAGTGGTCCTCCAGCCACGCGCGCGCCCCCCTGTCTGGGCCCCGCGCCCCCATGCCGGCCTGGCTCACAACCCTCAGCATGGCGCGAATCCGCCGCCCCCATCCGATGAGGGGGTCGGTGGCTGGAGCCCCCCGACCGACACCGACAGCTTGACCACTCGGATGCCGAAATCCGACGTCGACATCGCACCGAGGTTCGAGAACGATCGACATATATGTCCGATGGGGGGGGGCTCCGGGCAAGGATCGAAACGACTCTCTCTTTCTCTCTCCATCTCTTCTGTCTCGCCCCCCTCCCGCCCTCTCCCCCTCTCTCTCTCTCTCTCTCTCTCTCTCTCTCTCTCTCTCTCTCTCTCTCTCTCTCTCTCTCTCTCTCCTCTCTCTTTTTTTTTTTTTCTCTCTCTCTCTCTCTCTCTCTCTCTCTCTCTCTCTCTCTCTCTCTCTCTCTCTCTCTCTCATTTTCGGATCGGTGTTTGGCCTCGGTCGTTCAGGATGGCGTTCTCGCCCCAGCGCGGGCCTCTTTCCCGCGCGCCCATCCGCCCGCCACCACCGCGCCGCGCCACCGCCACCACCACCACCACCATCGCAACCACCACCACCACCAGCACCACCACCAGCACGAGCACGAGCACGATCACCAGCACCAGCACCATCACCATCACCAGCACCACCACCACAACCACGCACAGACGCACGCACGCACGCACGTGCACCACCACCCACTACGCACGCGCGCGCGGAGCCACAGGTCCGCTATGACACGCGTCCGCGGGTAGAGAAAATCAGCGCCATGGTAAGGGATGGGGGGGGGGGGGGGGGGGGAGGACGTCAGATATGACGCTAGCGCACCTAGCTTGCCCTCTCTCTCTCTCTCTCTCTCTCTCTCTCTCTCTCTCTCTCTCTCTCTCTCTCTCTCTCTCTCTCTCTCTCTCTCTCTCTCTCTCTCTTTCTCTCCCTCTCCCCCCCATGGCCAGCGGCGGTTGCGCGGCGACAGCCTCTTTATTCTGGTAGCAACCTGGTCTGCCCAGCTGGCGCCCTCCTTGTCCAGGCTCCACTCGGCCTCTTTCGCCTGCGCATGGGCGCGCAGCGCCGACGACAGCTGGGACTGGTTCAGCCTCGGGAAGTGGCGGGGGGGGGGCTTTCTCCCAAGGTACTCTTCCGTCCTCCTCAATTCCTCCTCACATTACTCCTGCATTCTTGGATCCCCCCCCCCCCCACCACCACCACCACCACGCATCATCGATTTGTCCCGCGTGTCCGCGTCGGCGCACGCTGTGTCAACATCGCGCACGCACTGCGTGAACACCTTTTCCAGCTTCTTGCGCTGGTCGTCGTCGGGATCACTCGTTCTCTCTTTTTGCGTTTGCCTCCTCGACCTCTGGCGCAGGCCTCCATCCTCGAGCGGGTCTCTCGGCCTCCTCCTCGGGCCTCGCGGCCTCCCCCTCTGGCGCTGGCCTCCTCCTCTGGCGCTGGCCTCCTCCTCTGGCGCTGGCCTCCTCCTCTGGCGCTGACCCCCCTCGGGTCGGGCGCGGGCGCCTTGGGCGCGCGCAGCGGCGCGCCGAGCCAGACGGCTGCGATCGGCGAAGGCAAGCGAGCGCGAGCAAGGGGCGCGACGACGAGGAGGAGGGGGGGGGAAGCGAAACATAAGTAAATTGTGTACAACATATGATATGTTTTTTTTTCACCGGATCGGTTTGTCTTGGATCGGTTTTTCCGGATCGGTTTTTTGTTCCGGATCGGTTTTCTTTCCGGATCGGTAAAACCGATCCTGAGGACCTCTGGGTCATGGCCGAGATGGCGAAGACGACGAGGAGAGTGGCCAGAGAGCGCTGGGAAGCGCGAGTGAGGGAGCTGGCCAGAGACGGCAAGTTCATCCCAGGCGCGCTTGAGCCATGATTTGCTTAATGATCTCGGTCCTCTCTCTCCCATCTAATATTATAAGCCGAGGCTGTTGCAAGTTTGTACGCTCGCGCCTGGATGATTGTATTTCTCCTCTCCCTCCTCTCGGATTACGTACGTATGCTGGGACTGGGTTGTCCTCGCGCGTGTTCAGAAAGAGGCGGAGTTGCTAGACATAGCTTCTGCGTGTGATTTCGTGGGACATGGCAGCGCTTGCTCGGGGCCCGCTACATATTCAGATTTCACTGCTGCGGATTGCGACCGCGGCGACTTGTCTCCTGGGTGGCTGTTTTAGATGGCTTGCCAATCAGAAGTCGGCTATCGAGACGGGCTCATATCCACGAAGAGTAGGAATCCGTTTGGAAAAACGAACTTATCGGATTGGATATGGCCCCTGCTCTGCCCTTATGCCCCCTTACATCCCCTTCTGTGCTCTCTCTCTCTCTCTCTCTCTCCCTCGCTTGACTATCCCTCTCCCTGCCGCCGGCTTGGATCGAGCCGGCTTGAGGCGATTTGGTTCTGGGAGCAGAATCGGAAAAGCTGCCCGCTCTCTCCTTGAGCCCTGCCGGGCTCCGCCGCCGACCCCGCTGCGGAGTCTGGGAGGCAAGAAAGGGTCCGAACCCGGTTGCGCACGTCTTGTGACTGAAACTTGGCGTCGTGCTTCCAACGCGCGTGGCGGCCGGTTGGCGAACCTCCGCTCTGCGCAACGTAACGGCGCACCCAGAAGCACAATCGATATCCTTTGACAGGCCAGTCCGGGAAGAGGTCCTCCCAGAAGGACTGCACCGCGCGATCGAAGGGCAGCAGCCTCTCTCCCAGCAGGTCGCACAGCACGGGCAGCACGCGCAGGTCGAGGTAGCCCGCGCCAGCGGCCCCACCAGGCGCAACCGCTCCAAGTGCACCGCCCGCACCCGGCGCAGCCAAGGCGGCGGGCGCAACCGGCACAGCGGGGCCTCCGCCCGCGTCAGGCGCAGCCGCGGGGCCGCTGCGGCGCCGGGGCCCGGAGCGGCCGCGGCCGGGGCGCCAGGCGCCACCGCGGCAACCGGGGCGGCGACGACTGTCAGCGCGCCGGCGGGAAGGGACCGCGCCTCCGCCACCCATCGCAGCCACGAGGCCGCCGAGCCCAGCGGCAGGCGCCAACGCGGCACCGCCTGCATCGGCAGCCCCATCGCCTCCCGCGCCGAGAGCTCCCGCGGGGGCGGGCGCGGCGCCGCCAGCGGCGGCTGCGCGTGGAACAGTAGCAGCGGCAGCTCCAGGAGCAGCAGGCCGCCCAGCAACGTTGGGGATCAGCTGCCCAGGCGGCGCCGCCATGCCATGGCGCCCACAGGCGGCCGCTCGGGCAGCCGTAGCGGTGGGCACCGTCGGCACTGCGCGGACCTGGTACATCGGGTCGGCGCCGATGCCCGCGACCGCGGCTCCAGCGCCTGCACCCGCCCCGACTGTCACCTCGATGATGTCGGGGCCTCCGAAATCCTCGTCGTACTCATCGCCATCTGGCGCAAGAATCGCCACCAGCTGCCCCGCGCTGGAAGGTGAACAATAGAAGTACACAAAATCGTCAGCGACCACCCCGAACGCCGTAGCAACAGGATGGGCCATCGCGATCAGCGACGAACCTGTGCGGCCGCCGCGGCCCCCCTAGTCTGCCGCCGAGCCTCCTCCTCCATATCCGTCAGCGCGGCGACTCGCTCGGGCGACGCAGGGCCGAGCGGCACTCCAGAGCCCACAGGAGTGGCAGGCTTCGGTCCAAGCCAGGCGGATGGCGGCCTGAACGTCCTAGGCACACCGCGCCACCCCGCGAGATACCCGGCACCCGTGGCCACCAGAAGGCAGCACAACAAGATCACGGAGATGCCCTCATGGTGGACGGAGCTGTTGGGCGAGTACTCAAGGCTGGGGCACTGGAGGTGAGGAGAGCACCTAGGGCAAGGCGCACACTTCAGCACCGCGCAGACGCCGCAGGACAGGCACGGCTCGCACGCTACGCACTGCTGCGTGCCGCCGCGGACGATCAGCGCAGTGGATATCCCGCGGGAAAGCTCGGTACCAGCTCGGAGGAAAAACTGATGCATCGATCGTGTGTGACCCGAGAGCTTGAGCCGTAGAAGTGCGGCAGAGAAAGAGAGAATGCAAACACCATGTCCTGGAAACTACGATCCTCATCACCATCAACGGCATCATCATAATCACCGTCATCATCACCATCAGCATCAGCATCAGCATCAGCATCAGCATCATCATCATCATCATCATCATGAACATCATCATCATCATCATCATCAGCATCATCAGCATCATCATATTCATCATCATCTGCATCATCATCGTCATCAGCACAGTCATCATCAGCCTCATCATCGTAATCGTCATCATGATCGTCATCGTCGTCATCACCAGCTCTATCGTCACCATCATCAGCATCAACAGCATCAACATCATCATCATCAGCATCATCATCATCATCATCGTCATCATCATCATCATCATCATCATCATCATCATCATCATCATCATCATCATCATCATCGGCAACATCTTCATCACAATCATCCTCGCCGCCATCATCAATGTCGCAACCATCATCTGCATCGTCATAATAAGCATAATCATCATAATCACCATCGCCAACACCCTCATCGCCATCATCGCCCCCACAATCAACGTCAACAATACCATCACCATGAGCATCACCATCACCATCAGCATCACAATCCTCATCCTAATCATCAGCATCATCACCATCACAGTCGTCATCATCACCATCAGCATCGTCATCACGTGCATCATCATCACCATCAGCACGATCACCATCACAACCATCATCAGCATCACCACCACCACCATCGTCACCATCACCATCACCACCATCAACATCATAATCATCATCATCACCACCAACAACAACAACATCATCATCATTCACCTTAGGGTGCGGGGACAGGTGAGCCTCCAGCGGGCGCCAGCCACGCTGCGCACCGCCCCCGCGAAGCCTGTCACCCGAGCTCGCTCGACGTTCCCATGGCCATCTGCACCCCAACTCGGCTGGGCACCGAGAGCATGTGGCAATCCACCTCGACCGAGCGCGGGGGGCGGAGGCAGGGCAGCATAGGGAGGGAGGAGCGGGAGGGCGAGAGGGAGAGGGGATGGAGAGAGGAGAGGGAGGGGGATGGGGGGCAAGGGAGAGAAGACGAGAGAAAGAGGGGCACTGAATTGTTCTCTATCTGAGAACGCGTGGCATAGCGGACCTTGAACTCCCATGAAGACCCTATGGCTCTTTGCGGTATCGGGAAAAATAGAGCTGCGTACATAGGAGGGGGAGGAGGAGGTGGCGGATGAGCAGAAGAATGGGCAGGAGAACAAGGATGAGGATGAGGGGGGAGGAGGACGGCGACGAGGACGAACAGCAGCGGCGGGAACTTGAGTGGAAGGAGCGGGAGTAGCAGGAGGACTAGGTGAAGGCGGAGGAGGGGAAAGGAGGGGAGCGACAACGATGAGGAAGGACAGGGGGGGGCACATCTGAAGGCCTCGGGGGGGCCTTATGGGGCCTCATGGGGCCTCGTGGGGGACTCAGGGGGTCTATAAGAAGCTGCTTTGTTTTCGGAGGTCGTCTTTGAGGCCTCACTGGGCCGTCGTGGGGCCATCGTGGGGCGCTTTCGGGCCGTGTTGGAGGCGTCTTGGGCCCTCCTAGGGCCGTCGTGGTGGCTTGTTGGGCCGTCTTGATCCAGAAAAGTGGCCCGAGCTGACCGAGAGCGCCAATCTCAACGACGGGAGCAAAACGCCGATCCTAACATGAGGGCAACGCTGCGACGGTAATACGTTTTTGAAACAACCATAAGAACGACCAATGTTTGAAGCCTAATGCGCAACAAAAACAAAACTGGGAAGGGGCGGGCTTCTTCCCGGCAGTCTTCGGGGGAGTGAGAAAGGAAGTGTTGAGATTAAGTAATTGTTGCATGGGGTACAGTAGGATGAGAAGGCTCACAAAAAAAGGGTATGGAATCTTACATACTGCTGAAGCAAAGCCAGACTGCGCGCGAAGTCGCGTATAGATGAGCTGCGGAAAAAAGGAACTCTCGAGGCCATTCGTGGACAAGCCTGGTTGAACAGCAAGAGAATCAGGTCTCATCCCCCTACTCACTCCGCACTTTCTCTTCCGACTGCCTTCCTCCGCCGCCTCGGCATCCCTCCTTTCTTCCTCCCGGGATCTCCTCCGCAACCTTCTCCTCCTCATCCTCCCCCTACCCCCCTCCTCCACCTGCCTCTGCCCTCCCCTGTCTCCATGCCTGCTCTCTCTCTCTCTCTCTTTCTCGTTTTCACTCTCCTTCGATCTCTCCCCCTCTCTCTCTCGAACTCACCTCTTGCTTAATCCCCCTGCTCCTTACGCTCTAATTGGCGACTGGGGGGCATGGGCACAGCTGAGGTCGCCGCCCCCTGGTCCACCAAGCGCTCAAACAAGCTGGTGGCCTCAACCAGGGTGGATGCACGTCCGGTCAGACAAATAGAACTGCCCAAGACTCGGGCGCTGACCGGCAACAGATCTGCTACGCATGTTCACTGCGTCTGTTGTGTGTGTGTGTGCTATCGTTCAAATGTCAAATGTCATGTTCGTCCGACATGCGTTTCCATCGTTGTCGTCTGTCCATCCTCGTGCGCATGGTTGAGTGGCGCCCCCTCCGTCTCACATTCCTCTTATGTGTCGTCCTCCTCCCTGCTTCTTGCTGCTTGGCTCATGTTCTCTGTGTCCTACATCCGAGCTGCTCTCATTTCGTGCCTCGGTACTCCAACCACACCTCCATCTTCCGTCCTCCTCGCTCATCCCTCCCCTTTCTCCCCCGTCAAGTTCCGAAACTCACACTTGCTGACCAAAATTCAAGCCCAATCCAGGACATCAGCCTGTTTCCGGACTGGACAGAGAGATGGTGACATCTCGTATGACATCGACAGCCTTCCAAACTTCTGCACAACCAACCACGCCCAAATCTTGTTCTGATGCTGTGGGACGCCTGGCGCAAAACCGCGAATGCAATCATTAAGTCGCACTTCTCTCTGCAAATTTGATGTTGGCATGCCGACTGCGTCTTCTATACGAGGTACAAGTTCTGCAATATGCTAATCATTGACAAAAACATGCGAGATCGCGACACGTAAACTCATCCGCACCGTGCCCTTATAGAGCCTGCTCACTATCAGTACAGAAATACGCAGAAACGCAGGATGCGCATCGCGTAGACAGCGTATTGCGCGGATGAACTGCGTGCAACCACATATCTACAAGTAAGCTCGCATACGTGAGAGCTCGTGTGCAACAGACTGGTGGCATTTTTCGCTTGAATGTTCATCGCATGTTGAATCTGGCGCATGCCGGGGAGACCCGCCTCAACCCAAGGGCACATCGTTTCTGCGAAGCCCAGGCACGCATATTGACACGACTGTGGACTTCCTAGCCATAGCTTGAGGACTATCTTCCGACAACGTGACAAAACTATCACCCAACCACGACGCTTCCCCGTCGCGCGGAATGCGCAGGAACTCCGAAAGTTTCTGCACATGATCCCAGGCCGAGTCCACAGGTCGACCCCCCCCAAATGGGATGAGCCGAGGGGTTACACAGGCCCCCCCTAGATGGGATGGGGGGAGGCGACGACGCCGACGACGGCGAACACGACGACGACGACCACGACGACGTTCACGACAACGACGCCAACGGCGACGACGAAGATGACGACGACGCCGACGCCGACGCCCACGCCGCCGCCGCCGCCGCCGATGCCGACGCCGACGCCGACGCCGACGCCGACGCCGACATCGCCGACGCCGACGCAGACGCGGACTGAAGACGCCAACGCTGATGGAAGATGCCCACGGAAGACGATGACCCTACAACGTCTGGACTGCACGTGCTCCAGACGTGCATCCCGCGAAGCGAGAGGGATCATACGATCAATCAAAACACGTTGCAAACATAGCAGCGACAGCAGTCCATCACACAAGGCCGAATCCACAAGGACGCAAAGGCAACCTTGATGCAATGTAGCACCGTTACTACTGTGTGAATGTAGTCTGGAGTGGTTGAAGACGGAATACGAGAATCAACCGAACGCGCTTAATGGCAACGCCTTCGAGAGTGAACGAAGATCTCCAAGAGCCGCTGGATGACGGCCTACTCCCTTCCCCCCTCTTCCAGCTGTATTTCTCCTCCCGATCACGAACCACAAACATGTCCACATCCATGCTCTGGTGGACTGATGACCGACGCCCGATCCCATGGGTACGCAATCCGTGAACACGCTCCTCCAAGGGCATCCCCACACAAAACCCCATCCGTGGAGTCGCGGCCGAGGAGACTGCAGCGTGAGGCTGTGAACATGAGCACGTTTTCCGCCCGCGACCCTCCTGGTGCGAAGAGAGGCCTGGGCCTGCAACCGGCCGATCGCAGATCGAAGGCGGCCGAGGCCGCCACGAGGCCCCCCTGCTCTGCCTCGCGGCTGACGACCTGCGGCGGGCGAAGGGGCCTCAGGCGGGAAGACCGGGCGTGACGAGGAGGGAGGGGCTGATGGGAGGAGCGGCTTCTGGGGGGATGCAGAGGTGTTCCTTGTTTTTGTTGCCTCACCCTCTCTCTCTCTCTCTCTCTTTCTCTCTTTATCTCTCTCAGTCTTGCACGGTCTAACGCAACACAGCGTCAGCAGATCGGACTCAACTTATGGGGGGGTGTTGCGAAACAGATGTTCGACGGAGCCTGTCGTGATTTTCACTGGGCAAACACATTCCAGAGCGGACAACGTGGGAGCGAAGAACGGAAGGGGCGAGAGAGCAGAACTGCGAGCGAGAAAGGCAGGGGACAGAGGAAAGCGAAGCGATAATGGCAAGAACATGAACAGGAGGCTTCGTAACAAAAAACGCATCTGAACACTTGGTTGCTGGCTGCGCACCTGCGCGCCTGCAACGGTTTAGGGCCAAGTCCCAGGCAATGCTTACGCAGCGGAGTGACTGTGGCGTGGGGCTCAGAGGGGCGCCGCTGTCGCCTTCTGCTCAGGGCGACTTCCAACTAGTGAGGAAATTGTGACACAGTGCACGATGAGGGAATGCGTACTTGCGCAGCGCGTGCAGAGAAAAAGGACGGGAGCAAGGGAGGTCCAGATGAAGGGGGTGATAAGAAGACAAATAAGACTAAGACAAAGAAAAAGAAGACGAAGAAGACGATTCAGGGAAATGGCGCGGGCGTAGGGTACGGGGGCCATCCTCCCCGTCCTCCTCCTCCCCCTCCTCCTCCTCCTCTTCCTCCTCCTCCTACTCCCCCTCCCTTCCTCCTGGCTCTCCCTCCTCCTGGCAATCCCCCTCCTGGAGTAGTCAGGGGGAAGCCACGGGGTGCTGCTGACCGTAGCCGGCAGCTGGCACTGGTCTCCGACCTGGACTGCCTGGGCGGGATGGGGGAGGGACGGGAGGCAACAGGGGAAAGAGGAGGGGTAGGGGAGCGGCGGGGCAGAGGGAGGGGAAGGGAGGAGGGGGTGGGTAAGGGTGTAGGGTAGGCGGAGGGGAGGAGGAGCAGGAGAGCGAACGAGAAGGAAGAGCGAAGAAGGACGGGAGAAAGGCGGGGGAGGGCAGAGGGACGGGAGGAGCAAAGGAGGGTGAAGGGGAGGGGGCAGGGCAGGAACAGGGGAACATGGGGGGGGGCAGGAAGAGGGAGACGTGTGAGGGTGGGGCGAAGGATGTGGATGGGAAGATGAGGGGGTGGGGGGGCAACGGGGTCGACCAAGAGGGGGGGAGCGGGAACAAGGACGAGGGACAGGGGGACGGAGAGTGGAGGTGCGGGGGGGAAGGGTGCTGGCGGGGTGGTCAAATGTGGGGGGAAGATGGCGGGGAAAGGGGGAGCGGGAGATTGGGAATGGAGGGAGGGACATTGGGGGAGGGAGGGCAGAGGGATGGAGCAGGACGGGAGGGGAGGGGAAGGGAGGGGCAGGGGGAACGGGAGGGGAGGGGAGAAGGAGAACGGAGATGTATCGTGTGAATTGCACTGGCGACGGAGGGAATGGAGGAGGCGGGAGCAAAGCAAGTTCGCTCACCCCCGCTTGCCGGGGGTGAAAAGACGTGCGAACCACTTGGCTGTCCCCCTCCCTCCTTCCCTCTCCCCAGGGGTCCAAGATCCCGTTCGAAGGGGATGTGGGCTGGAGGGGAAGGGGTGGGGGGAGCTCGTCAACGCACCGCGGGACCCTCTCCAGAGCCTCCAGAGACCCCCAAAACGGCCCAAGAGGGCCCCAGCAGAGCGCCGAGACAATCCATAAGAGCGTCGAGACGGCCCAGGGGTCATCCCGCGACAGTTGAAGATGGCTTCAAGACAGCCCACGAGGCCCCCAGGACGGTTCAAGAGTGCTCCCAGAGTGCTGCCGAGAAGGCCACAAGAGGCAAACATCAGAGCATTCCCAAGGAAAACATACATTTTCGACATGCCCACCTGTTCCATGCCGACATCGCCCAATACGGCCCAAGGGGTTCCCAAGATCGTCCCAAGACGGGCCAAGAGCCCCAAGAGGGCCCGAAGGCGGCCCAGTACACCCTCAGAGGGCCCAAGACGGCCCCAAGAAAGCCCCAAGACGGCCCCAGGGGTCCCCAAGACAGCCCACGAGAGCCCCAAAAGGCCAAGAGAGACAATGCGAATTGACATATCAAGCCTTTCGCCCCGTTATGGCCCCAGAGGCCTCCCAGACCCCCGAGGCACCCCCAAAGAGGCCCCCAATAGGCCTCCAAGAGGCACCCAAGAGGCCCACAAAAGGCCCCAAAGAGGTTCAAAAAGCCAACCAGGCGCCCCTCAAAACATTCCCTCACATGCATCCTAGAAGCTTCTCCACACAGCTCCCACCCCCCCACGAGGCCACCAGGAGCCCACAAAAGGCCTCCCAGCCTGCCTCAGCCCGAGGCCTCCCAGAAGCCCTCAAGCAGCCCCGTGACAAACCCCAACAGCCCTCACAACACCCCGAACACTCCATCCATCCTCACTCTGCCCTCCTCCTTTCCACATCCGCTCCTACACGAAACAAAAGTGGTAGAAGTTGGTGCACCGAGCATTTCGTTGCAGGGGCGGGCAATCGATCGAAATAAGCCAAGGCACGAAATTGGAAGCGACCCCCATGATGAAGGTACAACTGAGATGGAGGCACATACGCATGTATGGCAGGTTCGAACTGTCAAACGCAGGTAGGCCAATGTACGAGTGTAGCTAATTCTTCTAGGGTATAGCACTACTCGGATGCCATCAGCATCAGAAAGCCATTGATACAACAAATATATGGCGTGGCTCCTGGGACAAGACCACGAAACCCCAATGCAATCCGCAAACACATGTTATGCGACCACATAACCGCTTCGCCCAACTGATCTCATATGCTCATTTGTTATGCAGGTGGGGGCCAGAATATAAACCAGTTTAGGTCAAAGGGGTGTCCTTGCCGTGAACGAACAAGCCCCATGCATTGAAGTCAGCAGCACCTGGCCCATGGCGCATGGTCCCCAGCCCAAGCACCAACGAGCTGTCCACATCGATTCGTGTCCCTGGCGGGCAAGCACATCGGCTGCATTACGGCAACACCCATCTACCTTGAATCGACCCTCCATGCTTTGATGTCAACCCACCCCTCAACGGCCTGCACGGAACCGTGGGACAGCGGGATAAGCGCAGCGGGCTCCACGACCTGGGCTGCTTCGTCGATAACGACCTGCAGCAGTTCATAGCCCCCCTGTAGCTCCATCCACCCCCTTCCCTCGCCCCTCCTCCTCCTCTACGTCTCCCCCTCCTGCACCGCATCCCTCCTCCCTGTCTGTTGTCCGAGGCCTGCCACGTACTCGCACACCGCAAATGGCGCATGATATACTTTGCAACCACAGAGGACTCAAAACCTCCAGATTGGAAATTGCCATCCAAACTGGAAGCTGGAAGTCGCCAAACTGGACGTTTACCCGGCCACAATTAACCTGGCAAAGGGCCCATCCCTATGCTGGCTGTGTGTAGCGCAGTGCGTAGCCCTGTCCACCTGTAATGCGCGTCGCGGGAGTGGTGGAGTTCGTGCAATGTCGATACCTATGGGGTATGGGGTTGAGGCGCGCTGGTCGCTAGATGACCGCACGAAACGTGTCAGGGGTGTGTCAAAATGAGCGGGGGGGGCGCATGCGGGCGCCCTCACTGGAGCTGGAGGAGTGGAGAGGGGGTGGGGAAGCGGGAGAGGTACGGGGAGCGGGAGGGAAGGCAGAGACAGATGCAGGGGTTGCAGGCGGGGGCGGGGGATTGTCGCAACCTGTCGGAGCTGAGGACTGTGGAGAAGATGGTGAGGAGTGTGCGTTGGAGAACCCGGGTAGGAAGAGTAGTGGGTGGCAGGAGGGGCCTCAGTGCTCGAATCTCGCGATTTCCCAGGCTGCTCGACTTGTCCGCGAGGCGCCCAAGCTCTTAGGCCGCCTCCTGAGGTTCAACCCACCTGGAGCCGCCCATTGGGAGACGCGACGGATCTGTTACCATCCTGTCGAATCCGTCCTGGATTCGCAATTCAAGCAAAATGTCGATCGGTAATGATGCCGTTTTTTGTTATCACTCGTCGAGTGGGGAGGAGGACCACGACAAACAAATCGAACAAGATGAGAAGTGAGGCAGACAATCCGCAAATCCCGCTTGCCAGGGGTGAAAGGTCGTGCGAGATGTTTGGCTCTCTCCTTCCCCATGTCTCCTGTCCCTCCCCCAAGGTACAACATCTGGTTTAAGGAGGGGCGAGCTCCTTAACGTACCTTTCGGGAAATGCGCCTCCCGCTCCACCCTCAGACGCCTCGCCCACGATGCCCTGCAAGAAGGCTCAAGAAGATCTCCGCACGGCCAATGAGCCTCAATGCGGTTCCATGGGGCCTGGAGCCTCACAAGGATACCCCCGACAGGGCAACATAGATTCTGAACACCATGCACTCTGGTGCGCCAATATGACAGCAAGGTCGCCAACAAAAAGGACCAAGAGGGGCCCAAACTCGTTGAAGACGGCCCAGAAGGCTCCCAGCAGGACCCCAAGAGAAGAATCTTCGCGCCCCAACTGAGGACCCTCCATTTTGGAAACGACGGCCTCCAGGATGGCCTCACGTGCGTCCAAATGAACCCCAAGAGACCTCCAAGATGACTCCAAGAGGCCTCCGATAGGCTCCCAGAGGTCTCTACGTTCAGCGTTCTTGGCAAGTCTTTCCACTCATCCCCTGCTCCACTGATCACCTGGGCGTCATTTCTGGATAGGATACTGGGCGTACGATACGGAGAGCGAAAACAATTAGATTCGCCCATCCACCTGTCGGGGGTCGGCAGAATCGCGCAAGCCTCTGCAATAAGAAGGGAGACGACGATATCGAGGTTGACGAGAATGACGAGGAAAGTGAGCAAGACGAGGGCGAGGAGCATGAGTGAGGAAGATGAGGAGAAAGAGAAGGAGGGAGGGCGAAGATGGCGGTGATATGAGGAGCTCCCTCTGCTGGGCGTGCCCCCTCCATCGGCGAGGGATACGTCCGCCCTGCCGTGGCTCAACTCGACATCACGCTGGGAAGCCCGGCGCCGGGGCCCTCGACCCCCACCTCTCCCGCCTCCTGCGGGAAGCCCTGGAGGATCCCAAGTGCAAGGGCCATGCTGGTCCACGCTGTGGCGCCGACGTAAGGGAACGAGGCCCCCTCGAGGATGCCCATGCCTGGCTGGACGGGAGGTCTGCAAGGCGCCGCGGAACGGGCCCCCCTCCCTCCACCCTCCCGAGCCCGACCCCTCCCTTCCCCCCTAACCCAGACCTCCGACGTATCGGTTCATTCGGTCCGAAGGCCCCAGGAGCTTCGAGCCCTTCCTCTAGAACAACTTTTCGTACACAGGTCTCCGAAGCTCTCTCCCTCCTCTCTCTGTCAGCATCTGTCCTCTGTCGCTTCTGTACGGTCACTTCCACCATGCCTTGCGTGTGCACGGGCATGTCAAAAATCGCTTCGCATCACCTGGCCGCAACCATTACCTATGGGCGCAACGCGTTATGTTGGAAAAGGCCCTGAAGCCTTGAGCGAGAGGTCCTCATATACAACAATTTGTCTTCCCCTCCTTCCTCCTCGCGCCGATGCGGGCGAGCTGCCGCTCACCGTCGTGCCCGTGCCAGCGCCTGCGTCTGACCTCCCCCCTCGCTCCACCGCCGCCCCCACCCCACTACTTCCACATCATCTCGTCGTCGTCGTTCCCCTCCTCGTCCTCCTCCAATTGCCTTCGCGCTATACTGGGGATAGGCTCGCTGACTGGTTACGCCTGGAACGGTTGAACGATCTCCTCCAATGCCCCGCTGGTCGCGCGGAGAGCTTCGACAAGAGGAACCAGGGAGAGCTGAAACACGAGAACCATAACATCGTATAGCTAGCGCTATGTGTGGCTGTGGCTGGAAGGTGCTGACATCCAGCAACTGGCACAACTTGTGGTGCCCCAAACCCAGAGGGCGAGGCGGCAGAAGCTTCTTACAGGTCCTTCAAAGGACCAGGAGGTCTGAGAGCTCTGAAAAGGAGCTTTCAGGAAGCTCCCAGGCACACGTCTTGGAAACAGCTAGATAAGGCCTTCGGGAACACGCTGCAGGTTCACAGGAGTGTGTCCGAGGTGCTCTGATACAATTCTGACACCTTCATCACTGATCCTCCTCATCCACCTCCTCCTCCTCCTCCTCCTCCTCCTCGTCTCCCTCTTTACCATGTATCTACTGTGGGTGATGCCCCGCTTTTGCCTCCGCTTGATGTCAAGGGGTCTCTCTTGGCGACCTCCCGAACAAGACACTTGACCGATCGCTGCTTTCATTTCCAAGCAACGGACAACCATCCCTTTGGGAGGGAATCGAAGTTCGAATGTCCATAATACTAGGGGTAAGGTGTCTCTTTTTCGAATGTATCAGGCCACATCACCCCTAGTGCAAGACGGGGACCTGAACAACGCGAGGCTTCATTGCGTTATTAAGGTTGGGGGTTACATGATCCTTAATTGTGCTTGCCGTGCGACAATAACATTCCCACCTCTGCAGGGCAAAATGCATTCGATGCAAGTGTTCAGGACTCGTCCAGGGTGCCATCAACGGCTGACTCACCTTCGGAACTCCCCCTCTTATGGTAAATGGGAGCTGATCCCCACGACCTCGCTCCCTGAGAGCTATAGAAAAGTCCAGGACGTTGATCAGGCTGGCGTGCAGAGACGAGTGCCTCGTACAACATTGGTTCGACTCACAGCATCGTGCGTTGACGGGCTGACTGATGATCAACCTTTATCGAGAGTCCAGCGTCAACAATGCTCCGTCTCCCCATCCTCCTACTCCTTGTCCTCCTCCTCCTCCTCATCCTTGTCTGACCTTCCTCCTCCTCCTCCTCCTCCTCCTCCTCCTCCTCCTCCTCCTCGCTCCACCTGCTCCGCATCTGCCTTCTCCCTGGACTATGCGGCTCAGCCGCGGGAACACGAGTGCCGGAAGGGGACGCGAAGCCCGAGGAAGCATTGGAAGATTATGGGAGGGCCTGAGCAGCCAATGGCTGAAAGAACGCGGCCCAGATAACCGATCGATGCGCGAAAACCGGCCTCGACATGTGAGCGACGCAAAAGAAACGGGTCTTACGCGAGATGGCATAACGACCGACCTTCTGCGGTGACTGTTGTGGGCCGCCAGCGCGGCACGCCACAATGGAGACGAGGGCGCCTACGCGCCACCTTACGCGGGCAGCTTACGCGCAAATGTCGGCGAAGACGACCCCGAAATTCTGCGTCGCTCATGTCTCGACCCCAAGTCTCCATCGTCGGGTGAGGGGCGGGGGTATCCACACTGCCTACGAACAACGAAGGAGGGCGGGGTCGGAAATCCTATTTCGGTCTGCGACCCGGGGCGTCCGCCGCCAACCTGGGGCAACGGGATGTCCGCCGTTTTAGACGCCCGAAATGGGTACGGAATGAAATGGGCACAACTCCCAACAACAAATGTTGCTCAAAAAACCATCAGCGTCCGCTGTCGGGCAGGCGGCCTCCTGTCTCAAATGGGCAACGTCCGCGGCGACACCGACAACGAGTCCTGTTCAAAATAAACGGGAACTGCTGTCGGTCACTGTGCTCATTCTTCCCGTACCCATTTCGATCGTACCCAGCCGTCGGTCGGAGAGGATAATGATCCGTGCCGGCAGCCGCACCTCACCTCGATCGGCCTCCAGTACCCTGAAGTCTTGACGACCGAGGCACCTGCATACTATACGGCATCGCTGGGGGGTGAGGAGCGAACTGGAAGGGGTGATGAGAGCAGAATCAAGAAGCCTGGTGAACTGAGATGGCAATTCGCCGGTCCAACGGGCCAAGAGCGTGATAAGATCTGCGGTAACTAATTAACAATATTTCTAGTTCGCGCGCGCGGGGTGGCCCCTGGGGGTCCCCAGGCGAAAAGTACCCCGGGCAAAGCCCGGGAGGAGACCCCGGACCGGGCAATTTTTCGACACCCCTCACGCAGATCGTGGCCTCCGCGGAGGGAGCCGCAATCGACTACCCCCCTCCCGCCCCAAGAGGCCCACAAGAGCCCCCCAAGAGGCCCTGGGGCCCCCCAAGACACCGCCAAGGAGCCCCAAGAGACTCCCAAGAGGTCCCCAGGCCCTAAAGAAGGCTCCAGGGCCCGCGGAATGAGCGAAACGATTAAATAACCTGGGCCAATGAAAGTCTTGTTGGGAAGCGAATTGCCGTGATAGGTGTGGGAGACCAGGGAGGATCAATCCCTGGAATTGCCATCAGACGCGGAAAACTCTTAACCTTGCTCTGGTTACCATGGCCATTCGGATGATGGAAAAACAAGGATTGATCGCAACGCCGCCAAGGTAGTATTCCTAAGGCTGCAACGCTCGCCATTGCTTCATAAGGATCGCTGCCGCTGTCGGTGATGTTGTGGCGGTTGCTCACCAGGTTTTATTCCCCTGGTTCAGAAAGCGAGGAATCCGTGACCCATGGCGGGCAAGCTCGTTACGTTCTGACCTTCTGCAACAAAGCGAGATCTTCCTGTGACAGTTTGAAATCAAACACGTTGAGATTCTCTGCGAAATGCGTTGTGCTCCTGGTCTGCATGGAAAAAGTTGCACCTGTGTCCACGATCCAGCGCAAAGCAACTTGCGCCCATGTCTTGCCATACTTTTTGCCGATCTCCTCACAAGCTTTCCGTGCCTGGCCCTTGATGCCGCCAGTGCTGCCGCCCAGCGGTGCCCACGCCTGCACAACGATGCCTCGCTTGCCGTTCTCTTCCACGGCAGTCTTGTCAGAGTAGCTGATCTGCCAACGTGCCTCCTGGCGCGTCGAAGCGTGGTATAATGTCAAGTGTTGTCGGGCAGAGTTCCTGTATTCTAATGAGGGGCCGCCCCCTCCTCTAGCCACCTAGCCACGCCCCCTCCCTTGCACGCCCCCCTCTTTCGAGGCAGTGGTCGCGTGTAAACGAACAATGGATCCGCGCTCTCGAGGCCACGATCCCTGGTAATGCAATGATGTGTCCGCGTCCCGTGAGTTTACAAGACGGCCCATACAGGCAACCAAGGACACCAAGATGGTCCACGGTGCCTCGAAGATGGCCCAATCTTGCCCCAAGGCAGCCGAATATGGCATCAAGACGGCCCAACATGCCTAGGAGGGCCCAAAATGGTCACAGGAGGACCTCAAACAGAATTCGAATTGGCCAAGCTCCTCGATGAGTCGTTGGTTTTTGACGTATGTTTACGTTCTCACAGTTTCGGGCGTCCGTCACCTCAGGGCGGTCCAAGAAGCCTCCACGATGGCAACAAGACGGCACAAGAGGCACCCGATAGAGCCCCAAGATGGCCCGAGGGGACCCCACGATGGCCAAAGGGGTTCAAGGGTCGAATCCCACCCTGCGTTTTTACGGATTTTGTTTTGTGGGAGGCAGAGCGCATCTTTGCGTGCTGTTGGGTATCGGCGTGGTATACCCGCTATGTTTTTTCTTCGGCGCTGCCTCCCACTCCTTTCTCTCTAACTGTCTCTCCGCCGCCGTCCGCCTAAACTTCAGCCTAAGCGGAGCCCAAGTCTCAGCCTAGCACAGCTTAAGCTCTAGCCGAAGGTTAGCCGAAGTCTAGCCTAAGCCTCAGTTTCGGCCCCTGTCTAGAATCTAGAACAGCCTCTGCTTCTTCAGCCTGGCCTAAGCCTGGCCTGAGCCTACGCTTCAGCCTCGGTTTAGCCTACGCTTCAGCCTAAGCCTGCCCCAAACCCAGGCCTAAACCTAAACTCAAGCCCCCGCCTAGCCTAAGCCTCAGCCTAAGCCAGGCAAGCCTAAGCTTCAGCCTCGCCTAAGCATAACCCATGCCTGGCCCACACCTCAGCCTAAGCCTGAGCCTCAACCTAGCCGACACCTCAGCCTAAGCCTCGCCTGAACATCGTCCAAACCTCATCCGAAGCTTCGGCGGAAGCCCCAGCCTAAGCCAATCCCAAGGCTGGCCTAAGCCTCGGCCGAGCTTCAGCCTGAGCCTCAGCCTCAGCCTAAGATAAGCCTCAGCCTGAGCCTCGGCCTGAGCCAAACCCCTGCCAACGCCTAGCCTGAGCCTCGTACCTTCTATTGTTATTACAAGACTATGGTATTGCTAGTACAACAGCTCGACCATATTAGAATGATGCTGCACTACTAACATGTTACAAGTCCGTGTTGTTCCCGCAGCCACCACCACGTTGTTACCACTACTACTGCACCAGAGCACTACTACGACTTCAGTAGTCTGCTATTAATACAATACTACTACGGCACTACGCTGCTATGACACGGCGGCAGTGCCTGAACACTCCAATGCTAGAGCCCCAAGTGCGACGACTGCCAGTATGGGAGGAATACCAGTACAGTGCGAAAGTACCACTTCTGTCACAGTACTGCTGCAGCGTTGCATTCCGACTATTACAACGCCTACTACTACTGTTACAGCGTCGTCACCACTACAACACTACATTATGCTAATACTACAACAAGTTTGCGATGCTGCGGCGCTGGGTCATTCCTATTGCAATATTACAGACAATCGCAGAGTACTACTCTCACGAACTATGTACTAGAGCACAGCTTCTACAGTGATACTACTACACTAGTACATCACTGCCCCACAACAGTACGAAACTACTCCTACAACGCGACTACTAACGCACTCCAGCTCAACGGTATTAATACTACACCCGGGTACGACAGCAGTGGGTTACTTCTACTACAGTACTACAGTGCGACTACCAAGCCCAGCACTAGGGTATGATCTGTACTGCCAGACCGGAGTACTACTACTACTCGTAGTAATACCCCTACTAGTACTAGTACTAGTCCTACCACTTATTGGATGACTACTGCGCTGCCACTTCACTGATACAATACGAGTTTGGCTGGGCACGGTATTATAAGACAACTCGTACAGTTCTAGAATCGCACTACTGAGGCACGACTGATACAGTACTGTGCTACGACTATTGGAGCGCCACCGCTACAGCACTACAGCACCATACTACTACAACAGCGCGGGGTGCGGCATTGGAGCATGCCTACTACAGTCTTGTTGTACATTCGCTGCAGGCAACAGTAGATTATTACTCTAACGAGTACTGTACTAAAGCATTGTTTTACAACGCCACTACTACAACAGCAGCACTTCTCCACAACAGTGCAGCACTACTCCTCCAGCGCTACCGCTAGTGCACACTCGGCGGCAATACTGTTGTATTCGAGAATTACAATAATGGCAATTGCTACAGCAAGCGCTGTAGGATATGATAGTTACTGCACGACCTGAGTACTACTACTGCTACTACTACTACTACTACTACTACTACTACTACTACTACTACTACTACTACTACTACGACTACGACTACGACTACGACTACTACTACTACTACTACTACTACTACTACTACTACTACTACTACTACTACTACTACTACTACTACTACTACTACTACTACTACTACTACTACTACTACTACTACTACTACTACTACTACTACTGCTACTACTACTACTACTACGACTACTACGACTACTACTACTACTACTACTATTACTACTACTACTACTACTACTACTACTACTACTACTACTACTACTACTACTACTACTACATCTGCAAGGCTGTTACAATGCTGCCACTTCGTGTATGCAATACTACTACTGGCTGGGCACGGTATTAGAACCAAAACTGCTACTGTCCTCAGTTTTTTCCCTAGGCACAGAGGGGAGGCGGGAAGGGGGGCGCGAGGAGAGGGGGGGGAGCGCGGGAGGACAGGGCCCCTCCCTTCCCTCCCCGTTGCTGCTGGCGCTTGGGGGGGGGGTCAAAACAAAAAAGAGAAACAACTGTTTCCCCCCCTCCCCAAGCGCCAGCAGCAAGGGAAGGCTGGGAGGACCCCCCCCCCTCCCGCCCCACGTAATCACGAACAAAGGCAGCGAAGCTTGCAAATCGAGCACCTCACCACGCGGCCAATTCAGCTTCGTAAAGCGAGGTATGTAAACCAACAAAAAATCGCCGCGGAAAAAGAAACCAGGGCAAAGGAAAACAACTATGAGTTTCGCAGGGGGGGATTCGACCCTGGAACCGCCCAAAGACGCATCCCACACGGCCATAAAACGGCCCAAGCGAGCCTCCCATGAGGCCCAAGACGCCCGTAGACGGCCCTTCGACGGACCAAGACGGCGCCAAGACGGCAAGACGGCGCCAAGACGGCCCCCAGGCACTCACCATACGGCCAAGAGGGCCCCAAGACGGCCCAAAAGAGCCCCAAGACGGCGTAAGGAGGCCTCAGGACGGCCCAAAGGGACACCCAAGACTGCCTCACAGGAGGGCAAGGCAGCCCGACGACGGCTCAAACGAGATTCAGGGAGGGTTCCTCAAATAATGAAGACGAAAGGTGTAACATGTGACAGTCGTCCTCTTCCCTCTTCTCCTGCGTCTCCTCCTTGTCCTCCTCATCCTCCTCGTCATTGTCATTGTCACCATCATCATCATCCCCAACAACAACATAAGCATCATGAACATCATCACCGCCACCATCACATCAGCATCAACATCAACATCATCATCACCAGCACCATCATACTCACCAGCCTCATCAGCAGCATGAGCATCATCGTCATCATCATCATCCTCATCGTCATCGTCATCAACAACATCATCATCATCAACAACAACATCAGCATCAGCATCAACATCAGCATCATCAGCACCATCATCATCATCATCATCATCATCATCATCATCACCATCCTCATGATCATTCCAATCATCATCACAATTCCAATCATGCTCATACTTATCCTCACGTCTCTTCAAAACCTGCTGACACGAGGTGCCAGACACGACGACTTTCGTGCCCTCTCTCGAACAGTCGCCACCGCATAATGTTGTGCTGGTAGGGTGGCTGGACTTGCCGCAGGCAGCTGGATAGAATAGGGCAGCTGATTCACTGTTGGGACTGTGGCAGTCTTGTCTGCGAGTAGGCAGTCGAGCTGCGCAGAATTGAAATTGCTGACGGCCAGACTTCTTGTCTGTTTAGCGGCCAACATCTCCTCGAAGGCTTTCCACTGGCCCTTGATCGAGTCACAATCTGGGCCAGGGTAGTCCAGCATGATCATGTCTACGTAATCAATGCCCCCCACCTTGAAAGCCTCCAGATTCTCATCACAACCCTGTTTCGTGGCCTTGTAGGCGGCCTCGAATCCTCTGGCCCTGTTGCTCAACACGGTCCCGCAGATAAACAACTGATCCCTTGGCACGCCTGACGCCTGCACCCCTCTGGCAAAACCACGCTGGTTGCGCGCCAACACAGACGCAAAGAAATTCCTATAGCCCAGCTGCAGAGAGAGCTCCGTGAGCTTCTGGGCAGTGTTGTCGTCGTAGATCTGGAGGCCGAACGACGCCGTCGGAAACTTCAGGCCGTCACTCAACGTGAACACGTCCCCGCTCGGGGTGACAGCCGGCTGCTGCGCCCAGGCCGGCGCTCCCGAGGCCGCAGCCCCGCCTCCCGCTGCAAGCGCGGCCTCAAGCCACGACGCGGGGGGGGGGGGCAGGGGACGGGGACGGGCCCCGGGGACGGGTGAGGGAAGGCAGGGCAAAATGGGACGGATGGAGAGAGGGAGAGGGAGGGGAGGGGGGACGTGCGAGAAAGGGGAGTCTGCAGGCAGCCTGCTCCGTTGTCGCGTCATTGTAGGGCAACGCCACTCGGGCAGGGCCGAGACGAGCCGGGCGTAACTACCACGAATCGGACATGACTGCCGCTACTAAGGCGTAAGACAACCCCACCACGACACAAATCCCAGGATTCCCCATATTTTGTAATGGTTTCTGGATGTTCATCTTCCTCTCCAGTTCCCATACTGTCACATACATCCCGGGGGAACGACGATGAATGGTGTCTGTGAGCTTTTGCCCCTCCTGATGTCCTCACCCTCACCCCCCATTATACCTCATGTGCTTGCTCGACCGTGTCCATGAGCCCTAGCGGATCTGCTCGTGTAGACGTTTTCGGAGCCTACCCTAGATTGCATCAGTCTGTACCAGGGTCAGAGTCTCTAGCATTACTGGTTGTCTTTCAGCATGCATACCTGGCCAACATGGGCACTACGAACATGTTGGCGACTGCCCGTGGATGAAATATGCAAAGTCGGCCACCGATGCCGCTCTCTTTCTTAGTGGGCTCCCGCGCCAATGTTCAGAGGCGAGACCATACAACAAGACCGAGGTATTGTATTGGCTAGCATTGCATTAATGTGCGTAGTGGTGTGTCACCCCGCCCGTCAAGGCGGCATTATGGATGACCATCGGCTATGGGAACACTGATGCGTCTGCTAGCCTTTGCTCGCCGTGGAGCGCGGCTACATCCCTTCGACTCGGCCGCTACGAACGGTTTGCGTCGCGCAACCGCATACGAGCCCACCATGTGGGTATTCTTGCGGCTTACATGGTCGCCCGTGCCCACGAGAAGCTACGAGGGTATCCCCCAGCTGGCCCCTCCTCCCCTCCTCCCTCTTCTCTATCCCTCGTGTTCCCTCCGCGGGGTATGTCTCAGAAGTTGCGTTCAAGCGCGTCCGAAGCGTAGCGTGCTGATTGTTCAACCGTCACAAATTTGGGTTGGCAAGAGACCCTTACCATGCTCCTCATGGTACGGGGCAGGTGTGGCCAACGGCGAGGCGAGAGCACCCGTCGTAATCGTGACGAAGTGTCCCATTGAATACGCGCACCAACTCTAGCGCAACCAGCAGCACCACCAAGACGAGGACTACCAGAAGCAGCAGCTACCATGCGAAGCAGTAGCAGTACCACCAGCGCCACCAGCAGCAATAGGGCAAGCAGCACAAGTGGTACACATCTTCGACAGTTGACCAGAACGAAAGCAAGCAGCACCACCACACGCACCAGCATCGGCGATACTAGCAACACCAAACGCGGCAATACTAGCGCCACCAACAACACCAAAGTGACGAGTACGACGGAAATCAGCAGCGACACGCAAAACAGCACAAACGTCATCAACAGTACTTCTGTGACCGACACGACGGGCAGCAACAAAACTACTCTTACCAGCACGTGCGAAAGGAGCAGAACCACCGCAACGAGCACGACAGGATCCAGCAGCAGGACACGCACTAACACCAGCTCAACCAGAAGCACCACTGTAACCAGCACGACGGAAGACACCAACACCACGCGCAACAGCACAAACGCCACTAGCAATTCCACTAGAACGGGGACGACGGGAACCAACAGCGCCAAGCGATTGGCGCTGGACTGCGCGAGCGCCCCCACGCCACCGCTGGCCAGGCCAGGCCGGAGGTGTTCCCGTAATCCAGCGCAAAGCGTCATGGCCCAAATCATGCGCTGGACACTGGGGACGCCCCAGGGCAAACCCCACAGCCTGTTCCACACAAGCGTCGGAGGCCCACCCCTCGCACCGCATCTCCCGCGCCGTGGCGAAAGTGTGCACGACCAACCGCAACTCGTCGGTCGCGCAGTTGCAGCAACACGAGCGAAACGAGCAGTTGCACTGACCAGCCCGACAACAAATAGCAGAACCACCAGCAGCAGCAGACGCCACCAGCAACACAACTCTGAACAGCAAAATGCAGACTAGCGCCATTACGCGCAGCAGCGCAAGTGCGACATGCAGTGCCACTGTGCCGAGAACAGCGGGATGTAGCAGCAGCACCACGCGCAGCAACATCAACGCCTCCAGAAGCAGTAGTGCGAGCAGCCTAAGCGCCACCAGTAGCACCTCTCGGACCAACACGACAGCAAAACAAAACAGCACCACGAGCAGCAGCACCAACGCCACAAGCAACACCACTGTGGCCAGCACCACGGGCAGCAGCAAGCCGACTCGCAGAAACACAAGTACCATTTTTACCAGCACAACGGGAAACAATAGTACCCCGCGCAGTAGTGCGAGTAGCAAAAGCGACGTCAGTAGTAGCTCTGCGGTCAGCACGGCAGCAATCAACACAACCACGCACACCAACACTAACGACACTAGGAGCACCAGTCTGACGACCGCGGCGGGGAGCAATAGCACCACGCGAAGCAGTATCAAGGCCACCAGCAACACCACAGTGACGAGCACGACTGCAAGCAGCGGCGCTCAACGCGACAGCAACACGCGAAGCAGCGCAAGCGCCACCAGCAGCGGCCCTATGACTTGCACGACAAGAGACAGCAGCGCTACGGGCATCAACGCCAGCGCAACGAGTGGCACCACCGCGACGAACACGACAGGATCCAGCAGCAAATCGCACACCAGCACCATTGCCAGCGGAAGCAGCAAGCGCCACCAGCAAGTGCATCGTGACCAGCACGAGGAGGACCAGCAACGCCACGCGAAGCAACACAAGCGCCACCAGCAGTCCCACCGAAACGAACACGACGGGAACCAATAACGCCACGCTGATCGCGCTGGAATGAACGAACACCCCCACCCCCCCACCAGCCAGGCCGACAGGGGGAGAGGCGCTCCTGTATCCCAGCGCAAAGCGTTACGCTGGGCTCGGGGGGCGCTGCCGGTGCGAGCCCCGCCCCCAGGAGCAATCGCTTCTTGGATTGTGGAGTAAGGCGTGTCGCTCGGGGTAGAGCACTACGCGCCGCCACGCTGGTTCTGGGCAGGCTGTGCTGCCCGGCGGCGGGGCAAGAAGAGGGGAGATGCAGGCGCACGACGACGAACCCGCAGGCGGGGAGGCCGGGGCCGACAGGGCGGGCGGGCAGGCAGGCGGAAGGGGGGCCTCCTGGCGGAAACAAAAAAAAAACTGCAGGGAGCAGGGGGAAAGGGAGGGAGGCAGGGAAGAGGAGGAAAGGGGAAGCAAACGCAAGCAGGCAGGCCAGGCCAGAGGCCATGAGAGAAGAGCCAACCGCGACGAGGCTACGGACCCTATGGCGGCGACGCCGACCACGCGGCGCAGGCGTTGCGGTGGAATGGAAGGTGGACTTCGGGGGGGGGTCGTCGTTTGCGGTCGTCGAGAAGGGCCGCCGGGGTCGTCGGGGGCGCGGCGTGGGGTGGCCGACCGAGCCCAGCACGCTGCGGCTTGTCTGGGGAAAACCTTCTGCGGGATCGCCCACCGCCCCGCCGGGGAAGGGCTGGACGGCGTGCGCGAGGCGCGGAACCGCCAAGGGTACGGGGGGGCGTCAGTGCTGCCCAAACCCGAACGGCGGTCGGGGGGAAGGGTTGCGCCAGCCGGGGCCTACGATACCAGCGCGACCCCGGAGCGCCAGGGCGAGCGTGAGGACGGGATAATGGTTCGTCGTGGGCCTGCCGTCAGCGCCCGCCGCGTGCCGCCGTGCAGCGGGGCCAGCAGTTCCAGCGGTTAACGCTGTCGCCCTGCCCAGCCAGGAGCGGAGCCCAGCCTGGCCAGCAGCGCCCCTTGGTCAACGCCCTCCGATCGCCGTCGTCCAGTGCGTCCAGCAGCCGCCGGGCTGCCAGCCTCCGCCGCGAAACGGGCGCGCACCAGTAACAGCGCGAGCGCAACGAGCAACTCCATTGTGACCAGCACGACAGGAAACATCAGCACCACTCGCAACAGCACAGGCGCCACCAGCATTGCCTGGGTGAGTAGCACAACAAAAACTAGCACTGCTAAGCGCAGCAACGCCAGCGCCACCAGCGGCACCAGTGCGACCACCACAACAGGATCCAACAACACCAGCAGCAGCAGCACGAGCGCCACCAGCAACAGTGCAATCACGCGACCAGCACTACAGCCACCAGCAGCACCTCCGCGACAATCGCGACAGCAAACACCATCACCAGTCGCAGCAGCACCAGCACCACGATCTGTAGCGCTTTGAAAAGGACGACGGGAAGCAGCAACAATACGCGCAGCACTACCAACGCCACCAGCAACACCAGCGCGACCAGCACGACAGGAACCAGCAGCACCACGGGCACCAACACTGGCACAACCAAAAGCGCCACATTGACCAACGCAAATGTAACCAACAGCACAGACGTAACCAGTAGTACCAAGCACGACGGGAAACAACAACACCAAGCTTAGCAGCACGCGCGCCACCGGCAGCACCACTGTGGCCAGAAGGACGGGACGCAACAACACCACTCGCAACATTACCAACGTCACCAACAGCACCACTGTGACAAACCTGACGGGAAGCAACAACACAGCGCGCATTGTACCAGTGCGACGAACATCACCGGACGCAGCAGCACTACGCGAATGAGCTGCAGTAGCAGCAACAGCATTAGCAGCAGCACAAATGCCTCCAGCAACAACAGGTGTGAACAGCAGAAGGGGAAGCCGCAGCACAACGAATATCCCTGCCACCGCAACCAGCAACACCCCGGCGATCATCCCGACGGGAAACAACAGCACTACGCGCACCAGCACGAACGCAACGAGGAGTACCAGTGTGAGGAGCATCACCAAAACCAGTACCACTGTGACCAGCACGACAGAACGCAGCAGCACAATGCGCGGCACTACTAGCGGCACCAGCAGCGCCGGTGTGACAAGAACTTCGAAAACCAGTCGGGCAACGCGAAAAAACAGAAGCGGCACCGTGGCGCAAAACTGGCCGCGGATAGGCGATCACTGAAATTGTCGTTTTGAAAGCTGCTGGGGGTTCCTGCGGAATGACGCCCGACGCAGGTTCAATCTAGAACTCGCCATCTATGGTTGGGCTGCGATCTGCGGAACTGTCGCCGCATTTGAAAGCTGCAGAGCGGTTCGGCGGAATGACGCCCTCCGCACATGCAGATTCGACCTCGCTATCCTTGGGTGGTCTGCGAACAGCGAAATCGTCGCCAGTTTTGAAGGTGCTGGGGGGACCAGCGGAATGACGCCCCACGCAAACTCAGACTATACCTCGCCATCCCAGGGGGGCTGCGATTTGCCAAGCTGTCGTCATTTTTGAAGGCTGTGGGGGTCCAGCGGAATGATGCCTTACGCAGATTCAGATTATACCTCGTCGTCCCTGGGGGGCCTGCGATCTGCAAGACTGTCGCCACTGTTGAAGGCTGCTGGGGGGTCCAACGGAATGGCGCCCCACGGACATTCGGACCTCGTGATCTCGGAGGGCTGCGATCTGGAAACTGCCGCCACTTGTGAAGGCCGCTGGAGGGCCCAGCGGAGTGACGGCCCACGCAGATTCAGACTAGACCTCGCCTTCCTAGGGGAATTGCGATCTGTCGAACCGTCGCCACTTTTGAAAACTGCTGGGGGGTCCAACGGAACGACGCCCTACGCACATCCAGACTACACCTCGCCATCCCTGGGGGGGCCTGCGATATGCGAAACGGTCGCCAGTTTTGAAGGTGCTGGGGGGCCCAGCGGAGTGACGCAACACGCAGAATCTAGACCTCGCCATCCCTGGGATGCTGCGATCTGCGAAACCGTTTTCATTTTCCAGGGTTGCTGGGGGGCCCAGCGGAGTGTTGTCCTGCGCGGATTCAGATTCGCCGTTGCGTCCTGTCCCGCAAGCCGCCCGGGGAGCGGACGGCGCGGCGTGTAGCGCTGCGCGGTGCAGGAAGGAAGCGGGGAACCTGGCAGGAAAGTTCGGCCTCGCTCGCTTTTTGCATTAGCTATGGAAAACTGATCTTTTGGAGCGCCAGAGCTAATGGCACGGGCCGTTGCTTGTGGCGCGTGCTACTGGACAGTGATCGCCGCCCTCCTTCCCCATCCTGACTCTTTCGTTGTCGTCGTCTTCTTTTGACCGTCTCAATGCTGCTGTCCTGTAAAATATTCGGACCCTCTTCCACCTTTTTCCTGCCCTTCGTTCCCACCCACAGTTCCTATTCGAGCCTGGGGCCTCAGTCCTTGGCGTTCTGTGGCTGTCATGTGAATCGTGCAACGCGCGCGCGTTTACCAGGTAGCTTGCGAAACCAATGAGGAATCCTGTGTTGCAACTCTTGTTGCCACTTAATGAAGGTCGCGTGGGTACGTCGCAGAGTCATCAATCAGAGATGTGGCTGGCGCCACGGCGAGAACGACATGCTCAATGAAGGATGTCGCCCGCACCTAGTCAACAACAACCTGTTCAATCAAATAAGCTGGCCCGCGCACAGGCCGGAACACCATTCCGAGATATCCGCGATGCCGGAATGCAAGAATCACGCCAAAATCGCGTGGGCCGGGCTCGGTGTCGCCGGGGTTCAGGTGACGAAAGGTGGGTCATCCACTTTAGGGAGGGGGGGGATTGTGGGGAGCTCCACCGAAGGCCCCAGTGGCGGTGTCCACGTGCAGACGCCTCACCCATTTCGGCGAACCCCTCACTCGCTTCGTGGCCCGAAAGGACGCCAGATGAACTCGGATCCAGCTGAAGTCGGACCCAACTGAATTCGGACCCCGGCTGAACTCGGACCCAACTGAACTCGGACCCTGAACTCGGAAACAGAAAACTCGGACCCAGCTGAACTCGGACCCAGCTGATCTCGGATCCAGCTGATCTCGGACCCATCTGAACTCAGACCGAGGCCCGCGCTGCAACGGGAAAGCCTCTCCGAATTCAGCCGGGTCCGACTTCGATCGACCGGGTCCGAGATCAACCGGGTCCGAATTCAGCCAGGTCCGATTCAGCCAGGTCCGAGACCAGCCAGGTCCGAGTTCAGCGGGTCCGAAATCAGCTGGGTCCGAGTTCAACTGGGTCCGAGATCAGTCGGGTCTGAGATCAGCTGGGTCCGAGTTCAACTGAGTCCAAATTCAGCCGGGTCCGAGTTCAGCCAGGTCCGAATTCAGGATCGAGTTCAGCTGGGTCCGAGTTCAGCCAGGTACGAATTCAGCCTGGTACTTGTTCAGCTGGGTCCGAGATCAGATCCTCCCATAGGGAGCTCCACGGAAGGCCCTAGTGGCAACGTCCACATGCGGCCGCCGCACCCATTTCGGCACACCCCTCACACGCTTCGTGGTCCCATAAGGAGTGCCACCGAAGGCCCCAGTGGCGGCGCCCGCATTGCGGCCCCGCACCATTTCGGCACACCCCATCACACGCTTCGTGGTGCCTTAAAGGGGGCTCCATGTAAAACCCCAGTGGCAGCGACCACATGGCCGCCCCGCCCAAATTCGGCACACACCTCACACGCTTCGTGGCCCCAAAAGGAGATCCACCCAAGGCGATATTCACAACGACGGTACCCGTAACTGCATGTGGTCGGGTCCTTCGCCGACACGATAATTTTGGAAGGACGTTCTGCGTGGTGCAAGCCATGTGGGTCAAGCAATGTGGCGCAAACGATGATGCGAAAGCTGTGTACGTAGTGCAGCCGTGCAACCTGCGAGTTGCAAGCCATGTGGTGTAAGCTGCCTTTGGTGCACCTGCCAGGCGCGTCCAGGGCGGCTACGGGGCGCCCACGCGCAGCCACGGGCGGCCACGGGGCGGCCGCGGGGCGGCCACAGGCGGCCGCGGAGCGCCCACGAGGGGCCCACGGGCGACCACCAACTGGCCACCAGCCGCAACCCCGCCGCATCCGTCCAATTTCCTTTCTCGAGGAGCCACTTGTGAACCCCTAGGTGCGAGCAGTGGTTGGGGAACAAGTTTCGATACCCGAACGACCTCCCAGACAACGCCAGAGCGCAGTCGAACACGCCCCAGGGCCAGGAACGCCTGCCCTCGAGAAACGCCCCAGGCGAGGAGGGGCAAGTCGCGGGCACGGCCATGGACTGGCCGGCGGCCGACCGTGGCAATAACTAGTGTTCGAGGCGCTGTGCTGTCCCATCAGAGATGCAGGATGATCTTTATTATGGCGTTGACTGTGTTGGTAATGTTGTCGTCGACGATGCCGCTGCTGCCGACGGAGAATGCATACACTTCGTTATTGCATGCGGGGGGCATTGTCCAACGCTCGGATGCACGTTATGTGTGCCCGCAGCTTCGCCGTTTCTTCCACGCTTTGCGCATGTTTTTGTTTCATCCCTGAATTCTCGGACTTGCCTCATTGGAGCCAGTCCAATCCACGCTCCATGTTTCTCCATCCGAATCACGTCAGCCTTCTCTTCCTCTGTCCCTCCGAGTTTTTCGCACCTTTCGCCTCCAACCTCCTCATCATGCCTTCCTCCTCTTCCTTCACCTCCACAGAGCTTGATGCTGACACAAGTGCGCCTGGCCCGAAGTGCCCCAAACTCCCTGCCCAACTTGGACCCCTGGGGGCCCAACACTGTGGTGGTCGTCCGGAAGCCGTGCCCCCCTCCTCCCCCCCCCGCTGGAGAGACGGAGTGGCCCTTCGGGTCAGGGGCGCCTCTGGCAAGACTCCTTGGAACAGGCGCGGGGGGTGAGCGGGCCTCGAGCAGCACCTCCCTGCGCGACTGAACGCCCCTGGTTGCGCTCCCCGATGGCGCGGCGTACGCCGGCGCCGCTCGCCACGGGGACCAGGAACCCAGGAACGCAAGGGCAAGGGAGCCGAAGACGAGAGCTGGCCGGCAGGCCCGCGCGCCAGGCGCGGGGCGTGAGGTGGCCACCGGCCAACGGGGCGGCGGCGCCATCGCCATCGCCGCTCCGCTGGAACACGGCCGGGGCGGGAAATCTCTGCGTGCCGGGAAGTCCTGCCCTCTCCCCCACGCATGACCCCTGGTTTTATATTGGTTCTCCGCCCCCCAAATCCGCTGTCATGGGAAAGGAAGGATCTGGAGCGCCAGGGCATCAAAGACGGGAAGGAAAGCACGATAATGAACGAAATCGGCAAGTACGACGTGATGGTTGGGGGGGGGTCTACAGAGGAACGGATCAATCATCTAAAAAGGTTCGGGGGCAGAGAGTGGAAAGAGGCACCAGACATGAGGAAGGGCATTTTTGGGGGGCGGGGCAAAAGGCCCTCACAGCAAGATCGGATACGTGTCTCGATGAGCCCGAACTGCGGTGCGATAGCGTTAAAACAAAGAATTCGCGAAGAGAAAACAATTCCGTTCAATGGGTGGCGGTGCCGGGGGCCGTATACGCAGGGCACCTGCCACAAAAACTTGACGCCCTCAGGGTGGTTGCGGCTGGGGCAGTCGAAAGAAAGGTCGACCACCTGAGCCCACATAGCCACAAACGTCGAGCAAAGAAGAGGATGCGCAGTCTCGTCGGCACAGGGGGGCGTGTCCTCGTTGAGCCCTACGGCTGGTTGCGGGCGGTTGCGGATGGGCTATTCGGAAAAAAGAATCGGATACCTGAGCCGAAGTGGCCACATACGTCGAGCAAGGAACAGGGATGCACAGTCTCGTTGGCACACGGGGGCGTGTCCTCGTTGAGTCCTAAACGCGATGCGATAGAAATTAAAAAGCGAAAAGCGAGGTGGCGGTGACTCCCTTTTCCTGGGCGGCGGTGCTGGGGACCCTGTAGGCAGGGCGCCTGCCGCTCGCAGGAATTGGATGCCCCCTCTCAGCCATGGAAGTGAGCCGCCTGTCGAGCCGACGGGGATGGGGAAGGCGCGCGGAGGTGACAGGGGGCGCCGCCACCTTCCCACTCCACACATTGCTAGCGTTGGGGGCGGGATGGCCGCCTTCTCGCCGCGCCTCACTTCCCTTCTCTTTTTGAGACACCGCCCCCGCTGTCCGCCGCTCGCACGCCCGCGGTTGCCAAGAGGCGCGGTCTCGAAGTCCCACTCCGCCTCCATGGGGCCCACCGCGGCTGAAGCCCCCCTCCCCCCCCCCCCCCTCCCCCCTCCGCCAGGACCCCCGCTCCCGCCTGCGGCGGGACGCGGAGCGCCTTCCCAACAACCGCGGAGGGACTTGCTGGGGGGTGGGGGTTCGAGACCGCTCCGAAGACGCGCAGGAGGGTGGTCCAATGGCGAGCATTGTGCCCGCGTCGGTAGGCGGTTAGTCAAACCCATCGGAACATGGCCACGGCGGCGGCGCCCACCTTTAGACTTGGGCCACTGGCCCCAGCTCTGCCATCGGTCCGCTGTCGTAGATGTCGGAGCCCATGCGCCTCTGGGGCACCTCCGCTGCGGAACGGGCTGCAGCTCGAGGGGCTTCGCGCGCTTGAAGACCATCCTGCTTGGGCGCCCGCCGTTCGAAACTTGCTGCTCGCGGAGCCGCGCGGGCGTGCGCGCGCAGACGCAGGGCGGACTGCGCGGCAGATAAGGAAGCGCGCAGGGCGGGCTGCACGCAAGAACTGAAGACGGGCCGCGGGCAATATGCACTCCTTGCTTCCGCTGGGAAACCAAGGCTTCAAGCAAACATGGCTACGGCGACGCGACGACGACGACGACGACGACGACGACGACGACGACGACACCGACGACACCGACGAGAACGAGAACGACGACGATGACTCCAGGGCAGCGCCCGGGGGCGCCCCGGGCGGCCGCCCCTTGCCTGCGCCCAGGGCGCCCCAGGCTGGCCGGCGCCCCGGGCGTCCCATGCCAGCCAGCGTCCCAGGCATCCCAGGCCGGCGCCCCCGCTGCCGGCGCCCCAGGCCGGCGCCCCGGGCGTCTCGGGCGAGCGCCCGCACCCCGCAGGCGTCCCGGGGGACGGGCTGGACAGGGCGGGCGCCCTACAAAGGCGCGCCCAGGGCGTCCAAGGCAGCGCCCTGGGCATCCTGGCGGAGGGCGTCCCGCGCGGCCCCCGGCGTCCCATCCCGGCGTCCCAGGCGCTGCAGGCCAGCGTTTCTGGCGCCCTGGGCATGCGTTCCGCGAGCGTTTCGGGCGGCGCTCTGCGCGCGGCGCGCCGGGCGGCCTTTTGCGGCGCGCTCTGCCGACATCTGCAGCGCCAGAAGCAGGGTCCGAGTCGCGGGCCCGGCCAGGGCCGGGGCGGGGGTCGCGCGCCGACTGCAGCCAGCGCGACGGCGATGCAAACGCGACGACTGCAACGGCGAGTCGTGAGACGCGCGCGCGGGGGGCGCGACGCGCGCGACGGAGACCGCGGCCGGGGCGCTGCTCGGCCGCCCGAGCCCAAGACGGTCGGACGGGGCGCCCGGGATGCCCGCCCGGAACGCCCGAGACGCCCGGGGCGCGGCCCGGGGCGCCCAGGACGCAGACGCCTGGGGCGCCAGCCTGGAACGCCCACTTGAATGATCCCTGGGGTTGTTAAGTATATAGCGCGCTTATAAGAGGGATCTATCTGGATCAGAGCTTCTTTCCAGGTTGGCAAACCTGCTTGCATTCGAGGGGTGCCCAGCTTTGCTAACATACATAGAATTAAGTTAGCTTACATACGTAGCGCAATTGCAAGCCCCACCCAGTCATTCAAGCACGATGCGCTTCTTTGGTTTGGAGGGCGGCTCCAATTCAAAACGCCCGCGGCTCCTGGAGTTCGAAAGGCCTCCAGCTGAAGGAGTGCCCGACGGAGCCAGCGCAAATAATGAAGGGGGGGGGGGGCGGCGGAGGCTCGGACGGATGGACTTTGGTCGCTGCTTACCCGACAGCACTCCTGCTGCTAGTGAGAAGGATATACTCAGCATGCCCAATTCCTGCAGTGAGTAGGCAACAATACTGTAGATAGCTGGCCTTCGCCCGCCTTGAAGTACACGCAACTCTCCGCAACCTTAGTGCTGTCAAATAATACAGGGCCGTCAGCGACCCTGCCCTGTGCATGGTCGGACTCTAGAGCCTTGAGCCCCGAAGGTGAGACGCAGGCAACCTGGCGGCCGTCTATCTGACAATGAAAGAAGATCTGGGCGAAGCATGCGTCGCCAGCACCTGGCTGAATGGCAGCAGCATCACCCATCTGTACTGATCGGCCGCTAATCGAGCACGCCCTCGACGTTAAAATCTCAGCGTTGATGTTCGCACCGAGGTGGCGTTCCAGCGCATCTCTCATTTGTTTGTCGCTGCCCTCGGCTCGTCGAGTGTAAGCCCGCAATCGGCTGCTGCAGGTGATGTAGACGTTGCAGCGCGCGCTCTTCCATGAGACCCTTGTCCTCTCCAACGGTGCTCGTTCTCGGATTCCAAAATCGCTTCATCGAGTTATGTTTTCGAGCCATGAGCCAGCAGCTCATCAAGGCGCCGAACTTCAAGATCTGCCGTGGCAGATGGAGGCAATCGCGAAACTTAGGTTTCCAAAGTGTCTCTCCCCAACACCGCTGAAAGCAACATAGTTAGTAACGATTGCCTCTCCCGCAGTGGCTGCCGAAACGTTGTTCGAGTTGACGGGTGCCAACAGAAGCGCAGTTTTGAACACCTTGATTGCACTATCTGCTCCTTGCGGGAAGATCCCTTGCGGCGCAACAACGGCATTCAAAACATGATGTAATGCAAACGCCAGCGACGAATATTCGCTGGCAGACCCGTCCAACGTATACTCGTAGCTGCCGCCGCAGACCTTCCTTTGCGTCTCCATAGCTGTTCGGTCAAACCCAGTTCTAGAGATGCGATGTTAAGCAACTCCCGCCAGCACGGTATCTAACAGGGCGAGCAACGCCTTCGCGTCTGCCTCGAACGCGCCGTCGGCCACGCAGCAACGCATCCAATCCCAACACTGGCAGTCTACCAGAGGAAGCTTCACAACATGATCATGCACCAGGCTGCGATGGAAGTTGTTCCATCCAGACATAGTCTGAACTAATTTAAACGCGCCAGTGTTTCTTGACATGCGCACGTCCTTCAACCGCTCTTGGATGCTAGCTGTGGCACCATTCGCGCACAGTTCGAACTGGGGCGCGTCCGAGAGCGTCGATGGTTTGAAATGCCCCGTTCTGTCTGGCAGCGAGGAAGATTTAAAGTCCACCACGTTCGCGCAGAATTCGCAGATATGATGGCCGCCAGGGCCCATGCAATGAACCGAAAGCGTAAACGCTCTTTCATCCTGTGCAATCACACACATGCCGCCGAAACGAAGGCGAGGCGACGCCTCGCCAGGCACCTGGAACTGCGCACCTGGGAGAGGAGGAGGGGCAGGAGGAGGTGGAGGATGAGGGGCGGGGGGGGGGGGGGGATGCGAAGGAATTGAGAGCGAGGGGGGAAAGAGGTGGAGGAGCAGGAGGCAGATGGTAGGACGAGGAGGGTGAGACTTGGAGCCGTTGCTATTTCGGCCCGAGCACCAGCCCGCAGCTCGCGCCCCCATGCGGGGCGCCTGTGAAATATGCGATGAGGTCCCGCATCAATTCGGGCATGCCCCCCCCCCTAGCTGTGCTACAGTGGCAGACCGCGTGCCACGCAGCGAACTCCAGGCAATCCCGTTGAAAAGAATTTCCTTGCCATAATCTAGAATGGGCCAGCGCGCCGCTTTCATGCGTCTCAGGATACGCTATTAAACAAAGCGTCTCCCGAGGACACTTCGTCAGAACATATATATATATATAAACATATACATGCATATGTATTGCAATTGGTAGGTCGTTCGGCGCCCGACCGAGAAGGGGCCCAAAGAAATGTCGGAATGGTTGTGATTCTGCGTGCGCAAATGGCGCGATGTTTCCGCGTTGGGTTGGGGGGGCTCGATGCGATGGTCGTTTGGTTTGTCTGTGGCCCCCTCCTGTTTCTGCAAGCCCGCTTCAATTTCGCGCGGCGACAGGGCCGGCAGGGTCAATTCCAAAGTTGGTGGCCCGATACTGTCGGGTCGACTTTCCT